TGTAGGAGGAAGAGTACTCAACAATAACAAGGTCACATAAAGGGGAAAGCCCATCACAACCACGGTCTCTGGGAGGCTTACTCGGAAAGTGACTTATGAACACTATTTCACTAAATGCACATGACAGTCCTTTGCTGCGAATGTCACTTTCTCCGTTTTACAGTTAAAGAAAAGGAGGCTGATGGGGACAATGACTTCTGAAACTTACCTTCCTGGAAAAGTGTAAGCTCTAACCTGTGCTGTGGCCACTGGCCCTGGGCCTGGGGCCTTAGAGATTCCCCTGGATCCCTTCCTCATGCATCTTCTCTCCTGAACTCTGCCCCTATTTTTTCTTTCCTTCCTTCCCTCCTTCCCTCCCTCCCTTCCTCCTTCTTTCTTCCTTTCCCTCTTTCCTTCCTTCTTCCCTCCCTCCCCTCTCTCTCCCTCCCTTGCACCTTCTCTTCCTCCCTCCTTTTCTCTCTTCCTTCCCTCCCCCTCCCTCCCTCCCCTCTCCCTCCTTTCCTCCTTCTTTCCTCCCTTCCCTTCTCCTTCCCTATTTCACTCCCTCCCTCCCTCCCTTCCTTCCTTTCCTCCATCTCTCTCTCCCTTCCTTTCTTCTCTCCTTGCTCTCTCTCTCCCTTTTTCCCTCCTCTCCCTTCCTTCCCTTCCTCTCTCCCTTCCTTTTCTCCCTCCCTCCCTTCCTTCCTTTCCTCCATCTCTCTCTCCCTTCCTTTCTTCTCTCCTTGCTCTCTCTCTCCCTTTTTCCCTCCTCTCCCTTCCTTCCCTTCCTCTCTCCCTTCCTTTTCTCCCTCCCTCCCTTCCTTCCCTCCTTTCCTTTAGTTTGTACTGGGAATTGAACCAATGTCTTCAAACTGAACTACATCCCAGCTATTTTTATTATTTTCTGAAATAGTGTCTTGCTGAGTTATTTAGGCTGGGCTCAAACTCGTGACCCTCCTGTGTCAGCCTCCCAGAGTTCTGCCCCTGGGTTTCTTGACAGCAGATCTGTTAGAACCCCTAGCCCCACTCTGCTCTCAGAAGTTTCCCCAGGCCACTTCTCATCATACCCTTTCCTGGCTTAATCAGCAGAGACCTCAGGGGCAGCTGCCACTTGCTTCTGAAGGACTTCTTGCCCAGTTACCTTGCTCTTGAGCCTAGGAGACAGTAAAGGTGCTCTGCTTCCTGCAGCCTTCTAGCCTGTAATTATTTCTGTCTTCAGTATCCAAAGTGCAGAATCAGCCTCCCACAGAGAACTTCGGCCCCACCCCCAGCACGAGAGGGCAGAGCCCCAAGTTGGCATGAACTCCAAGTCTTCAGCTTTCCACTGGCCAGGCTTTGTGGGCTGGCAGGAGCCGCTCCTTGCCAGGTTTGTCTCAGGGCCCATGGTTCCTGCCAGATGACAGCCACTCCGGGGTGGGGTGGGGTCCTCTGAACGGGTAGATGGTGTAGCACCTGGGACTTCTAGTAATCAGCTGGTCCGAAAAGATCTGGGACTTCATTCTGTTTTAACAGAAAAGTACCACCAGCAATAATAAATAAGCCAGCCCTGTTTGTCTTTTGCTCAACACTTGCCAGTACATGGAAAGCGCATGAGTGGTGGCCTGGGGTCTGTGGACAGGGAGTGGCTGCCAAGGTCCCCAGGAATGACCTCGAATGATGGACATCTGACTCTGGGTGGCCACTGCAAGGCAATCTTGGAGATTCTTATGGATTGATATATCTTATATCTGTTTCTCTAGTAAACACCTACTGATAAAGACAGGTAGCTCCTTAGTACCCAAATGTTCGCTTTAGCTTCACAACTAGCACATTTTGAAGGCCCTCTAAACACTCCAGTTTTCAGTACATTGAGCAGAATCTACCCTGTTGCCAAAGCTCTCAAAACTTGCTCAGTTTTTGCAAAAGAGATGCTTTTACCCAAAAGATAAGAGTTTTAGGAAATCTGGTTTCTAGAACTTAAAAACATGAAGCTTCCTGCATTCACAGGTGCGCACTCACACCCACGCATGCAGATGTATGTATTATTAACCCTGCACCTGTTCTTTGGCCCCACAATTCAGTACACAGGCTAACACCGGTACTAATCATACGCTGTCTAAATAAAGCTGTTAAAAAATAAGTACCAGGCCTCCTGCAGCTCCCCTTTCTCCCAGTGAGCCAAGCCCCTGCCTGTCGAAGCCTCCAGGCCCCACGCACCTTCCCACCATTTCTCCTGCTCTTGGCCCCCCTCGTCCTGCTCAGCTCCCTGTACCCCTTGTTTATACTCTGAGGTCCCGGTTCACAGTGTACTGCCAGGGCACTGTGTCTCTGAGAACAGTACCCAAAAATATCTCAACATAGCATGTTGCCAGCCAGCGTCTCTAGTGACAGTAGTGGACGATATCAAATTCCCAAAGTTTTAACACACACACACACACACACACACACACACACACACACTTGTGCATGGATGAACCCTAGCTCCATGAGGATATAGATTCTGCACCACCGTACCCCAACACTGAGAACAGTAGCTGCTGCATGGAAAGAGCTCCCTAAATATTTGTTGAATCGATGAACACTAAATACTTTATATTTACTCAACATTTTTTTACTGCCACTCCTTGTGGTGCAACCTTCCATGTGTAACAGGTACAAGTTCATTTCTAATACTCCGGGTACAAAGTGCACATGTGTTTTTTTCCTCTCCAGGATTAAACCAAGTGGGGGTGAAATCTCCAGGCGCCAGCACCTATAGGATCTTCAGTCCTCAGAGCAGCTCTGGCAGAGGAGGGGAGACGGGCATCATCTACAGGACGCTCAGGAAGCCCCGGCCAACACTCCGCAGGCCACTTGTCCCTTACTGGGTCAGGCTCACTACTGGCCAGGTCAGCATGGCTCATTTCCACAAAGCAGCTTCTCTAATTTCCACCAAGCTTGGCCACAGGGTTTTCTACTGGTCCTGGTGACATTCTCACCGCCAATGACCCACTCTTCACTCCGAGGTGCGCGGGCTGCTTTTCCGTTCTGCAGGCAGGCTGAGCCCAGCGTCCACCTCTGCATCAGCATTGGAGAGCACAGGCCGGTGCAGAGCTGCCCCTGCAACCTCTGACCATAATAATAATGCTGCTAAACATACCAACAGGCTTCTATTTATCTATCCAACAGATTTTTATTGGTACCTCCTATGTGCCAGACAAAGGAAGTGATATGTAATTTAGAAAGCGATGAGTGCTATAAAGAAAAATAAAGGCTGGAATGAGAATGGGGAATCTCAGTGCATGGAACTGTTATGTCAGACAAAGTGGTCAGGAAAAGGCCAGTGAAAAGTGACATGTGAGAAGAGGCTTCGAGGGCCCAGAGGTGTGAACTGTGGGTTTCCCAGGGGGAGGAGCTGCTGGCAGGGGAGACTGCAAGTGTAACAGCCTTGAGGCAGCCCCGACGGTTGTATTGGAGGGCTGGTGGAGATGTCTGTGGCCCGAGCGGAGTGAGCCAAGCGCGCTCAGGGGGCTGATGTACAGGTCTGTGGTAGCGCATTGGCTTAGCATGTGTGAGGCCTGGGATTGATCATCAACATTGATAAAAAGAAAAGAGAAAATCCCATGAAAAGGCCAGCAGCGAGTGCAAAGGCCAAGGCACAGGTGGGAGAAGGCAAGTCCTGGTTCTCTGTTGCTTGTTTAACCTTACCCCACATCTGAGTTGTATGCCATTGTATAGGACAGAGAACACCTCAGAAAGTGAATAATACATATTCAGGGCCACACTATTTGGAATAGAGATAGGGCCTCAAATCCTGCATCCAGGCCATGTCTGTTTCTCACTTCCATAAAACTCCAGCTGTGTGTGTATGTGTATGTGTATGTGTATGTGTATGACGGGGGGGAAGGGAGAGAGAGAGAGAGAGAGAGAGAGAGAGAGAGAGAGAGAGGAAGAAGAAGAAGAAGAAGAGAAGGAAGAAGAAGAAGAAGAAGAAGAAGAGGAGGAGAAGAGAAGAGGAGAAGAGAAAAGAAGAGAGAGGAGAAAGAAGAGAAGACAAGAGGAGAGAGAGTGAAGAGAGAGACAGAGAGAGAAGAGAGAGGAGAGAGGAGAGAGAAGAGAGAGAGGAGAGAGGAGATAGGAGATAGGAGAGAGAGAGAGAGAGAGGAGAGAGGAGAGAGGGAGGATAGAGAAGAGAAAGAGAGAAGAGAGAGAGAGAGAGAGAGAGAGAGAGAGAGAGAGAGAGAGAGAGAGAAAAGAGAGTGTGTGCTTTTCTCTGTGGGGGTAGGGGGGACTGTGTCAGGGCCCCTCTGACTCAACAATGGCCCACTCTTCTCCCGGCCCACTGGGCCCTCCAGAACTCCAGAACCCAGAACATTGCTGCAGGCTGCAGTGCCCTCAGTGTGCTTTGAAAGGAGCTGCTTTTCTGCCCCTGGATTCCTTCCGACTGTCCAGCTGCCAACCTGTTCTGCTCCGATCGCGGGCGAGGCCAGCAGCCTGCTTTGAGATCACAACCTCCCTGCTACTAGGCCAGCACAGAGGGGCCCAGCAGCTCTGAGCAACCCCACTTCCTGCAGGTATGAACATCAGCAACAACTCTGCCCCATGAGCCCCACACTGGCAGCCTTCCCTCTGCCAAGTATTGTATCTTAAAGATGGTCAAACATTAGGATGAACCAGGAGGCCCAGGCTCACCGGGTGGGTTTGTGCCTAAGTGCCAGTATTCTTGCCAAGCTCCCCAGGAATTCTAGTGGGTTCTCATAGTTGACTACGTCTGAAATGGACCTCGGAGTCTGTTGTGAGAATTAATTATCTCACTCCTTCATCCACTTATCCATTCGTCCACCGCACGTGTGCTGACCTCTAAAATCATGCCCACACACTGCTCCAGGAGGTGGGAAAGCAGCTCTGAATAATGGCATTGACATTTAAGAGTTAAACAAAGACAACAAGGTACACTCAGAAATAGTAATGACAGGTGTAGTGGCGCAAGAGTGCAATCCCAGCTCTGGGGAGGCTGACAACAGGAGGATCACCAGGAGTCCGAGCTGCATAGCGAGACTCTGTACCAAACACATAAAAAAGAAATATTAATGACAAGTATGAAGAAGCAGTACTGCTGAGTTGGTAGGTTGCTGAAAGCAAAGGGTTGAAAACTCCCTTGGCGGGCTAGTGTCTGGCTGGGGTCTGATGGACCAGACAAGGCTGCAAGGTGGGGCAGAGGTGTCATAGGCAGAGGCTACTGTCTCAAGGAAGAGAGAGTAGGAGAATGAATAAGAAGGAGAGCAGAGGTGGGAGGTCAGATGGGGCAAAAGTAAGGTCTAGAGCCAGAGTGGACCTGAGAGGCCACAAGTCAAGCTCTGGACTGTGCACGACGGCACCCTGCTGGAACTTTCGAGTAGTCGGAGCCATATGATCTGACTTACGTTTAAGATGGAACTCACTGGTGGCTGTATAGGGAATGGAGTGGGGGAAGCAAAGAGCATGAACATGGGCCAGCGAGCAGGTCACGGCTGTGTCAGACAGAAGATGCATCTGGGGCATGGGGTCTGGGAGGCCCTCTGCGACAGATGCAGAGTGCACCGAGCACACCACCTGGTGAGCAACGTGTCACTCCGTGTAGCCATTCTTGCTAGTAAGGCATCCATCATGGCCACTTTCTGCCCACTTCGAATTTGTAGGTCTGGGCGGTGTGCCTTTAGGGGTGGGGAGAGGGGACATGGGTGATACCAGGTTAGTGCAGGGAGAAGAAAGGCCCATGGCATGGAGAACAGAGGGGCAGGCATGGGGTGACTGAAGACACAGGGCCAGCCTGAATCGGAAGGGGTCCTGAGTTTGAGTGGAGTTGAGGCCGGGCTTGAGGGGGCCTCAGGAAGACAGCACTGCAAGTGCAGTGCTTCACTGGGGCATGACCTCTGCTGGTGGCACGGCAGAATTGTCTCAGTTAAGTTCTAGGCTTACGGGCTGGTGAGATGGCTCAGTAGTCTAAAGCACCTACTTAGAACAAGCTTAGTAAAGCACAGGGACCACGGTTCAATCCCCCAGCACCACATGCCAGCCAGCCCGGCCCCTGGTGGGCTGAGCTGGCCACACACACACATACATACATACATACATA